TCATGCGCTGAAGATTGCGCGCGAAAGACGAGGCATTGATCCGACGCATGCGAATAATGTCCCCGCTGCTACTCCGCGCACAAGATCTGTAAACGGAGAGTGAGGTTAGGAATCCGGAAAAAGGCGGCTCTGGGTGGCACCAAGAAAGCAAGGAAGATACCGTGGTAATACAGTGAAGCTTGATCGCACGTCCAGGCGCGTTGCCACACGTTAAACCTGGAAGGGGTCGTTGTAACAATATTGCCTATGATGGGGGGGGGGTCAGGAGGAGGGGAAAGGAATTAGGAGGACGCATGTGGGATGAGTGAAAAGAGAGAAAGGGAAGGGCGGGCGTTATATGTGCTTTGTGACGGGGGGGCTCGGCCAAGCTCTTCGCCAGCCGGTGGTCTACAGAGCTCCCCGTGGCCTCCACAGGGAGAAAAGGCAACAACACCAATCCGACCACTTGGATCACGGGTTCTCGAACCTCGGTCCTTGATCCTCGCCTTTCCAACAGAAGTAAAAGCATCGTTTAACCGATCCCTATCCCCACTCGCGTGGCCTGGGCACCACTGGCCGGTTTACCCCACTGGATGGGGATATAGGCAGTTTCTGTCAGATTTCGAAGGGTATATCCAACTGGGGGGATGAGATGGTGGGGGTCCGGATGGGGATGTGGATGGGAATCGGTTAAACGATACTGCAGAAGGGCAAGGCACGCACAAAGAATCTGCGGGGGACCCTCTCTGTCCCGACTCTTGCTGCATTCTTCGGCGCCCAGACGTCGAGGACGGCGAGAAGGTCTGGTTCAAGAAGGGTGATCTCGACGGCTGCTGGGACGCCTCAGGTCGTGCTGGAGTGCCCAACGTCGGGTCGGGAGGACCTCGAGTCCAGCGAAACCAACCTTGTCCAACGAATCCTTCTGGCAGCCTCCGATCCTAGCCTTTCCAGCAGAAGGGCAAGACACGCACGAAGAAACTGCGGGGGACCCCCTCTGTCCCGACTCTTGCTGCCTTCTTCGGCGCCCGGATGGCCTCAGCCAGCCCCGGCGCGGCTTCGGATAGCCTCGGACCGGCCTCGGATTGGCTCGAAATGAGGGGGCCCAGGGACACACAAATAAATACACACGCAAAACCCAGGATTCCCCATATTTTCCCATATTTCGTGACTTTTCGTCTTCCCCCCCACTTCCCATATTTTCCAATATTTTGTGGGGAGCGGACGATTAATTGTGTCTGTGTGTTTTTTCCCTCCTGGCGAAAGGCCTCGGATAGATCGCGGATGGCCCAGCCAAGAAGGGGCAGAGACGCCCCCGAATCTGTTCAACATCAAAAACGCCATCTGATGCGGCTGGCAAATCTCGGAGAAACGCCTGCTGGTAGGTCCCTCCTGAGGCACAAAGCTGATACTCCGAAGAAGAGCATCCAAGCCTCACCCACATGTCGGTGCTTACCTCGGGCGAAAAGAGCTAGCCGACGGCGGTCACAGTCGGAGCGGCGATGGTCAGCGACGCGAGGCCTTTGGGCCACGTGAGGTGTCTCGGATACATAAATATGAGTATATATACACATATATATAGACATAGGTGTATGCACACATTGAGGTATTATACATAAACAGATGTACGTATGTGTATGCACACGCTGACATGCATTATATGAAGGTTACTGCACACGGCGAAGCCTAATTACCCCAGGAAGCGCTGCCTCCGCACGACATGGAATTGGAAAGTCGGCAAGCTGTCCTGTCGCAAGTCTGGCATCGCTCCTTCCTCCCGGAATCCTGGATACTGCCATGTACCTTGCCGGAATCGGCCCGCTCCCTAACACGCCGACAAAGGCAACACCCCCCTATCGTGGTGGGAGTCGGCCAGTGCTTCGACCAGCGCCAAGGTGTAGATCGGCGCTCCTGCAGCTCGGCTGCGACCATCCCGGTGTGCAAAGAAAGCATGCTCGTGTGGCCAGCTTCCGTGCCACCGCAAAGGCCAAGAGTGGTGCAGTGTAGTAAGCATAGAAATCGGAGCGCCGCCATAAACATAGACTTTTGGCGCTCCGCGCGGATTTCTTGGATCTGCGCTGGACGCCCCTCCCTGGCGCGCGAAGCGCGGTGGGGCCCAGCGCGGATCCAAGAGACCCGCGCGGAGCGCCAAAAGTCTATGTGTATGCCGTTATTCTTCTTCGATCGTATGCAGACAATCGGAAGCTGGAACATATAAATTACCAGTGGCGGGCTGTTTTTCAATCCCAGACCTTGTTGAGGGTCGGGGACGACGTCGGGGTGGTGTGGTGTACACTTGTTTCCCATTTCGCGGGGGGAAGCGTCTCTCTCTCTCTCTCTCTCTCTCTCTATATATATATATGTGTGTATTCCGCATTTCAGTGCGGGCCCGGAAAAAGCGTCGGTGTATAGAGTTCGGCTCCTTACACAATGGAATCTCGCATCTTAGAAATCCAGGGTCACTTCCTGCGTCGACTCGGCGCTTCGTCAGGTTCCCAGAGGCTCCGCGAGCCCATCGGGACATGCGGACGCCTCGTGGGGCAACCGCTGGCAGGCCAAGACCGTGCTCGGCGTGCCCATCGTGGCCTCCCCCCCCGCGCAGATTGAGAACGTCGCCATCTTCCTGTTCTAGGGGAACGAAGAATGACATAAACATAATAACTCGGAGGTCCGCGCGGATTTTTGGGATCGGCGCTGGACCCTCCTCCCTGGCGCGCGGAGCGCGCCAGGGAGGGCGACGGAGGCGCCGCCAGGGGGGTCCAGCGCGGATCCGACACATCTGCGCGGACCTCTGAGTTTTTATGTTTATGTCATTCTTCGTTTCCCGATGTTCACTCTGCCACTCCTGATACAATCAACCCGTGTAGTAAGGATGCGCAGTAAGGATGCAAGGACCCTGGAGATCCGTATCGACGATTTTCGAACGAGGCTGGGGCCAGCAAAGGTCGCCAAGGATGGGCTGGAGGGGAAAGGATGCAAGGGTACCCTTGGGAAGGCTGCCCATCCTTACTATGCGGGTTGACTGTACTGCTGCTGCTGCTGCTGCTGCTGCTGCTTCCCCGTCTCATCTGAACCCCAGTGCTCCCCCTTGCGCCCAAGCCGCGTGGGCCTGAACGCCCAGCGAGGATGTCCCCGTATCAGCATCTCTGGGGACAAGAGGTAAAACTCGTCGATCATCTTCATGATCCACTGCCGGGGGACACGGGGTACCCGAGAAGCCGCGAGGCCAGCAAGCGAGGCGGGACAACGTGCAGCGCGCTGAGCTGACGCCTACGTGAGAACTGAAAGGAGCCGCTGGCACACTCGACTCGGACAACAAACAATTGAGCAGGGACCGACCGTCCCGGCATTCCTCTAGTCCTACCACGAAATGTTCTTAGAACCCAAAAAGTTCGAAACACAAAAACACTGTTAGTAGAACATCAACCCGATGTGATAAAACAAGACAGCCCCAGCCAGAAATGTTCTAAAAACCTTTTCGTGGGAACCACAACAGGTTCTTAGAACATTGTTTGGTAGGGCTGTAGGCACGCCAATACGCTTCGCCACTGCTTGAAACAGGGAGCAAAGCCTCGGACGGCTGGAGAGGCGCCACCCCACGCGGCAGGTAGCCAAGACACGGCACGAGAGCTCACAGAACAGCTGCGCGGCCAAGCCCCCGGCCCGCCCCGAGCTCTCTTCGTGAGCGGCTTCCAGGCCCCGGGCCCCTGGGCCGCGACGCCATGGATACGGGGGGGTGTTTTTCGCGGATGCCCCGCGTGGAACGTATCCCTACGACCGCGCTCGGTAGGCACGAGAAGACGACTTGATCTGCGCTTTCTTGGGGCACACCCTTCGTGCTCCAGAGCTCCCGTGGGACCCTGGGGCCATCGTGAGATAGGACATGTCCGCAACGGTGCCTGCCGGCGAGTCGAGTCACTGTTTGATCGGCCTGCTGTGTCCACGGGATGGGCCCTGGAGTCCAGACCGCGAGGGCGCTGGTATCTATAAGCTCGCCACTTGTGGATGCTATGACAATGGACACTCTAAGAACCCTATCATTGAATTGAAGATGTGTTTTAAAGGCGTAAAACATGTTCTGAAAATTTCTCAAACAGGCTTTAACATATTGTAAGCGTATAAACACATCTAGTAGACATCTGGAAATTGTTGGGCAGCACGCTTCCTCTCCATTGATCGACTTCCACAACACTCCCCATGGCACGCAGATCTGCGGCCGCGACCCAGGCCTCTCGGCCGGCGCCCCGCGCGCGCAGGCTGCCGTCGAGAGCCACTGCTGCCCCGCGCACGCAGGCTGCGCCCGGCATCGCCGCTGCATCGGCGATGCGGCTCGATGTGGAGCCCGATTTTCTCCACGCCAACGGCGCCCATGTATCGCCGACGTCGCCGATTCCTCGGGGATGCATTGGCGACAGGCGGGCGATGCGGCACGATCCTCCGACCCCATCTGCTCGGACCCCATGTTGAAGGCCTCAACGGGTGCCGACGGGGAAGCCCACGTTGACTGGTCTCAGTTCTAGGGTCCTAACTCGGGCATCCAGCGGCCGTTCGGGACGATTGTGGCCCCTCCTGGACGCTCTCGACGAGGCGCAGCTGATGGAAGCCACCTCGGGCCCCGAAAATGTCTGAGAACTCCATGATGGACACCGCTTGCCCTGCACACGGGCACTGCTGCCAAGCTCGGCGACCCCGACGAGTGTGGTTTGCAAGCCGCGCCTGGGGCGAGGGGCGGACAGGCGAGGACCTCGACAGAGGTCTCCGCCGTGCCACGACGAGGGTCATCAAACCTGTGGCGCAGCGCGGTGGCCCCTGGAGCCCCAACGGCGCCGATCGCAAGCGACACCCCAGCGTAACTACACCCATTGCGCTGCTGCCCAGCGCGCGCAGACTGCGGCCGAGAGCCGACGGAGACGCCCAACGGCGCCACCGCGCGCGCGCTTCCAGGAGCCGGCCGCACGCCGCGGCGGGAGCTCGACACGACGGCGGCGGCCAGGCGAGAGGCGCTGTGCAGGCGGGGCGGGGGCCCAGCGCGTCTTGCAGACCCACCACTCCGACACCATGAACGCCACGGCCTGGGCGTACTCCTCCGGCGTGACCTCCTGGCCGACGGGCGCGCGCCGGCGAATGGAAAAGGGGGCGAGTCGCGACGCCGCGAAATGGGGCTTCCTGACCTTAGTGGGCCCTGGAAACGACAGGGCAGTTTTTGTTACCGGTTCCGTTTTGCCGTTTCTTTGCCGGTTCCAACGCCGTTTCTTTTACCGGTTCCGTCGCCGTTTTTTGACCGGTTCCGGCTCCGGCTCCAATCCTGGAGCCGTTTTTTCGCCGTTTCCGGTCGCCGTTTTGTTTGCCGCTTCCGTTTTCAAAAGACACTTTTTTTTGGAAGCGGTGAAACAACGGCCCTGCCGTTTCCGGGGCCCACAGAGTTCCTGACGTGCTCGGGGCGCTCCCAGAAGCAGTGCGGCGACGGAGCAAGAGCGCGGTGACCTCCAGATCCCCGCACGGCCCGTCCCCGCACGGTGCCGGGGCCATGGAGGCCACAGCCGCCCGAGACATCCCAAAAAACTGCGCCCTCCTCCTCCTCTCCTCCTCCTCCTCCTCCTCCTCCTCCTCCTCCTCCTCCTCCTCCTCCTCCCTCCTCCTCCTCCCCTACCTCCTCCTCCTCCTCCTCCCTCCTCCCTCCCTCCCTCCTCCTCCTCCCTCCCTCCCTCCCTCCCTCCTCCTCCTCCTCCTCCTCCTCCTCCTCTCCTCCTCCTCCTCCTCCTCCTCCTCCTCCTCCCTCCTCCTCCTCCTCCTCCTCCTCCTCCTCCTCCTCCTCCTCCTCCTCCTCCTTCTCCTGCCTCCTCCTCCCTCCTGGGAACCTGGGCCTTAGAGGCCCAGGTTCCCCAAAAACCGTGCCCGCCCGCATCCCCACGGACTCACCACGCGGTGTGGTCACCGCACCCTCCGGGGCTGCCCGACAGAATGGTGCCTCCACCGAGGGAGCCCTCGACCACAAGACAACCAAGAGGAGAAGGAGCAAGAGAAGGACGCAATCGATGCCCTGTGACTCGCGTAAGAGACGAAGCAAGATGAGGAGCTCATGGGGTTTGTTTCCTGATCCCAGAGGAAAAGCGCAAGGGGGCCCGAGCTAGCCTGGATGATCCCTGGCCAACCAAATCCTCATGCAACCAACCAGAAGTCGACTGGATGAAGCACGGCATCGGTGTAATCCTCAGCTGCGCCCTCTAGTCCGAAATGCAAGCGTAAAGGAGCCCGAACTGTCATCACTGATCTATGCCCTCGTTTGAACCATGTCCTCAGCCAGAACGCGACCAGGGGAGGAAGACGCGAGCGACGAGGAACAGGATGGGGAACGAGGGGCGAAGGGATGAATGAGTAAGACAGACGATGGGAATAGACAACGGCCCAGGATGAAAAGGACAAGGAGGCAGAGGACGGGGATGTCCGGGAGCAAGAGTAATCAGGAACAGGAGGACGAAGGGGAGGGACAGGTGGAGGAGGCCGCGGACGTGGAATGGGGAAGGGAAAGGAGGAGGAGCAGAACGCTGAGCGGTGAGCAGGAGGATCGATGACACAGAGGAAAACCACGAGAATAGGCGCTGAAGGGGATGCGAGAGACGAACACCGCCTGGGCATTCCTTCTAATCAAACCGTCACCAAGATCTAACCAGCCTCGAGCTTATCCCTATGCCCAGGGTTGACAAGCCCAAAAGCGATGCCAATCTTAGGGATGCGCCTCGGACAACTGAAGGAATACCTCAGATCGGTATCGTGATACGGTGACGCCAAGCATAAAGATAGTGATCTGCTTCATGCTGGTAAAGATCGGGGAAGATCGCTCCGAAGCGCTGCGGGACGCACTCGGAGCGTTCCAGACCGCACTGAATGGGCCGCGGCCCCCGATACGTCCCTCGGAGCAGTCAGATCTCAGAAGTCCCGACTTGTCCCGATCCTACCTCCGTTCTACCTTCCTCGACGGCGGAAAGCCGCGGGGGCCAACAAGGGGCGGGATGGAAGGCACGCTCGGGAGGCTCCTCCATCGGCCAACGAGAGTGGCCAAGAACGGGCCGAAGGGACAAGATGCAAGGGAAACCTTGGAAAATCGATCATCATGACTATCAATTTCGACTCTGCGGGGCGAGCAAGCGATCACAACCACATCGAAGACACACCCTGGGGAAAGTCTTCCGCATGCCCAGAATTTGTCGGAACACCGAAACCAGCTTCGCACTAGTTGTGGTCGATCTGACGTCCCAGGACGGCGAAACCGATCAGAACCACAACCACAACCGAGGATGATATGCCGAGGTCGGTGGGTTATCCTCCGAGGTGCCCTCGCCAAACATCCACTCGGTTAGGTTGTGGTTCTGTATAAAGCACCGAACTCCATACGCCGACGGTTTTTTTGTCCAGCCTTGCAAGGCTATTTGCACAGGCAAGCGGAGCCTGATGTAGACGGGACCCTGGCGTATACAGGGCGGTTTTAAATACATTGGATTTTGAAGCATATAAGATTTTACATGCCTGATTACTCTACGAATAAATTGATGCATGAACTCGTCGTTGTGTTTAGTACTAAAGCCCTGCATCTTTAATACATGATCCGCACGCGGAGCATGTATTGAAAACGGCACTGTACATGCTTCGTTGTTCACCCGGGAAGCGGATAAAAACGCTTACGCCACACCACCCCGACGTCGTCGTCACCGACCCTCGAAACGCTCGGGGGCTTAGCGGTGCGGCGACTCCGGGCGCGAAGCCGTCCGCGCGTCGGGCGGTCGCCCAGTGCAAGGAGGAGGAGGAGGAGGAGGAGAAGCAGGAGGGGGAGAAGCAGGAGGAGGAGGAGGAGGAGGAGGAGGATCGAGAAACAGCCCCCCACAGGTCGTGTACATGTTCTTCTGGTTTTCTTCTCCGTTGTGCCCGGAAGCTCTGCTCCGCGCCTCCCTCCTCGGGCCCCCCCCCCCCTTCCTCCACCTCCTCCTCCTCCTCCTCCTCCTCCGCCTCCTCCTCCTCTCCTCCTCCTCCTCTCCTCCTCCGCCTCCTCCTCCTCCTCCTCCTCCTCCTCCTCCTCCTCCTCCTCCTCCTCCTCCTCCTCCTCCTCCTCCTCCTCCTCCTCCTCCTCCTCCTCCTCTTCCTGCTCCTCTCACAGCGGACTCTGGTTTGGCGCCCTCCCTGGTGGCAGATCGCCGCCGGGGGGGGGGGGGGGTTCGGCTGCGCCGCCGCCGGTGCCACGACGCGAACACCATCGCTGGAAGGTATGGCGAAGCTAGTGTGATCGTCCCCCCCCCCCAAATGTCAGAGGAGGAAAAAATGCCGAAACCGCTGCCTTTCCCTCGTGTTGCCTTTTTCGGCCTCCTGGGAGGCCCTCGTCGCCACCGCTGGATTCGCCTCGAAATTCTTGTCAGAACGAACCCCGGGAGAGGTCCAGGGAGTAGGGGTATCGGTACCTATCGGTTTCGCCACAATGAGCGACCGCCCCTAGGGGCGGGGGCATGACAACATCCTCTGTAGATTCACGTGCCAGCACCGTCAACGTCAGCGGTGAGAGGAGAAGATGCGCTCGTGCCGTGGCGTTGGAGGGAGGAAGGAGAAGCTTGGGGGCCTGGAAATTGGCACCGGCACCAACACATGGGGTCGTGGTGCCCTTTCTGCCGCCCAGGAAGCCCCTGCTGCCCGAGATCGGCATGATCTGCCCTCGGTGGGTGACACCACCGATACTGGTGTGAGAGGCGCTGCCACCTCTTAGACCTCCGACAGGAGGACGAGGCAGCGGGAGGCCAGAAGGCTCGACCCAGCGTGCTCGCGCGCGCTCTGTCGCGCCAGGCGGGCACTCGGCCCAGCGCAGAAAGCTCGCGCGCGCGCACTCGCGCGCGCTCAGTGCGCTCGGCCCATACGCACACGAACGACAGCGAAGGCCACGGCGGCGGCGACGACCACGACGCGGACCTGGCGGCCTTGGGAATGGGGGCACGGGGCCCTCGGAGAGGACCTCAGGGGGGCCCATTGAAGCCTGGAAGGCGTCACCTCCGAAAAGAGGACGAGGCGACTGGAGGACATACGATTCGACCCAGCGCGCGTGCGCGTCAGCTCGCTGCGCTCGGCCCATGCGAGCACGAACGACTGTGACGACCAATGCGTCGGCAACGACGACGACGCGGACCCGGGGGTGGCCTGGGGGGGCGGCCTGAAAGAGGACCTCGTGGGCCCCATGGGTGCCTGGAGGGTGTGGTCGTGAGGGCTGCCCCGACGGCTCCCGAGTAGCGGCCCTTCAAACCAACCTCTCGACATTTTCATCGCGACACCCATCGGCAACCTCAACACAGTTTACCTCAAGACAACTCTGGACCTTCCCGTTCAAGAGGACGTTTTCCCAAGATGATGCTTGCTGAAGGGGTCAGCCTCGGCGTTGGACGGGGTCGCTGGGAGTCAGCACACAGCTGGCTTGCAGGACACCGACTGGCAGCCCCCTCTTTCCAGTCTCAGACCGCAGTACCGTCGGGGCGTTGACCTAAGGAACCCTAAATAAGGAACGGGGCCCCTTTCTCCCATAAGTGAACCTTCGATTTCCCATGGAAAACCTCAGGAAAACAGAAGGCAGACTGTAGAACAATCAAGGAACACCTAGCCCCTCCCCAACGAAAAGGGTTCCTTCTTCAGGGCCCCGACTGTAAGAAGTGCACGCGCGCAGGAGATCTGGGAGCCAGATTCTGGCCGCCACGGGAGGTCTGAGGACAGGGAGGTTCGGACATTCACGAAGGGGCCCCAGGACACACAAATAAATACACACAAATAAAAATATTCCCCATATTTTCTCATATTAGCTTGGTTTTTCTCCCCCCCCCACTTCCCATATTTTCCCATATTTTCTTGGAAATCGACGATTCATTGTGTCTGTGTGTTTCTTTTCCTCCTGAATTAACTGGTGGGGACTTCCCACCAAGGACACCAGTCGACCATAGAAGCAGGCTCGGCCCCTCACCCCTGGGAGATTGGTACGAGCCTACCTGAGCTGCGGGTAAATCACACCCTATGCGTTGCGAGGGCAGTGACCCTGAACGATAGCGCTTAACAAATCTCGTATCTCGTGCGTCTCTTCTCCGCAGGAAGCACCGATGGACCACAACCATACCTTCCCAGGGCCATCGTAGGCTCTGGGATAGACGACCCAGGAGGCACGGTGGTGGTGATTAGGTGCAGCCTGGGGATTTTCGGGCCCGGCGAAAGGAGGGGATAACGAAAGGGGGGCTTGAGAATCAGCTCACGAAGCCGATGTTCCCGGCGCCTCCCGGCACCGGAGGCGGCCATGCATAGAGGGATGGGTCCCTCGGTGGGGCCGAAGCCAGCTGCATGCAGCAGACTACGTAACCCCACCTTGCAAAATCCCCCCCCTTCGTCTGGCCCGAGATTCTCTCAGCGACCTTCTCTGGCTGCCTACCAGACCACCCCAACCCAACCCGAAGACCCGAATTTCGGTTGGGGGGGGGTACGGGTTGCATACGTGTTTTCTCGATGTTCCACGACCCCCCCCCACTGGAAATCGAGGATAAATTGGGGCCTTCGGGTTGGGTTGGGGTGGTTTGGTGGGTGGTGATTCTCTGGCTGCCTGCAGGTCGTTGCCGTCCAGGTCCACGACCTCGCCCCGCAGGGCGGCGTGGTGGTGGCTGATGGCCTCGTAGCGCTGGGTGTGCTGCTCGCTGCGCCGCGTGAGCTCCTGCAGAGAACGCCACGAGGAACGCAGGTGCGTTTCGCCGCGCGGCACTCGCCTCCTCCTCCCTCCTCCTCCCTCCTCCTCCGTCCTCCTCCGTCCTCCTCCTCCCTCCTCCTCCTCCTCCTCCTCCTCCTCCTCCTCCTCCTCCTCCTCCTCCTTCGCTCGTGCAGACTGCTGCACGCGTTCGGGCTCCTTGCCGTGTCCTCAGGCAGGCTTCGCCTCGTGAGCTCCTGCGTCGCAATTCCCAACCACGGAACCCCAAGGACCACCAGAGCCCAGGCGAAGGAGCCCCAAAGAGGGCACGAATGGCATATTCCACCGTGGTGCGATCCACCCTTCTCGCGCCCCGGCCGATACGTAACCTACGAGGCTTTGGCTGGGATCCTGCCAACAATCTCATCAATGCGGCCATTCCCCCCATTCTAAAACAAGGGGATGTAATTACTACATGTACACGGGACATCAGAACAAACTATGAAAATCCTGGACGACGAAGACGGCATGTTGGATGACATGTACAATTGCACTCAAACATCTTCCGCACACCACCCATCTCTATTCACCCGTGCCGAAGGCGACTTGCACCGACGGATGCTGACAAACACGAAAGAGGAAGATTTCAACAGACAACTGTTGCTTCCTCATGACAAGATTCAGAGCACGGAGCTACAACAATGAGGCGAGTAGGCCAGACAGCAAGTTCGATCAACGGCGTAGTACGATCGCCAACATGTCCAGTATGGACAGCCACAGGCGCAGAAACACCTTGTTCTTGTGCACGAGTTCAGTGTCACCTTCACCTACGCCCAGGGCTTGGAGAGAGTCCGCCCCCGCGACGGCCTCTCTAAGTACAGCCCAGATCTTGTCTGACAACTTCGGGGGCACAGTGAGGGTCCGCCAAGGGTGCGGAGTAGACAGGACACGTCTTAGACTTCTATATAAGCGTATGTGGCGGGAGCAGTTTGAATTAGGGTGCCTAGTTTTTCTGATGCAAAAAATAATCGTTGTTGTTGCCTTCAAAGAAATACTACCCGTACCAGCATGGCGATTGGGGCAGCATTTGCCCACCCTACAGCCAGTTGCAGCAGCATCGTTTGGGATATCCAGTGATGCACGCGTTTGCTCCCATCGACTCCGCTTCGAGCGTCATGTGAAGATCGGTATGGATTCAGTTTCTGGAAAGATAATTGTGCACACAGTTCAGCACAGGCGGGAGGCAAGGGCAAGGGTTTGCAGCAGCGCTTCCCCACCTCCGCAGCAATTTGCCTCGGAATCCCCGCAGAAGGCTGTGCTAGGAACACCCATCTTGCACTGTACCCGCGTTGGGTCCAGGACGAAAATTATTGTGCCACTGGCCATCGCCACGCCGTGTGTTATACGCCGACGACGCGACGAGGACGAAAACGAGGACAAGGACGACGATGCCGTGGATTATGCTTCATGGGTGACTGCGGAGAACGCCCTGACGTATTCCGCCTCCCCAAATTAAAATGCAAACTTGAACAAACAAACACCAACAGAAACATAATCTGTCGGAAATCCGCGCGGAAATCGCGGGTTCCGTGGCTGTGCAGGTGTGTGTGTGTGTGTGCGTGTGTGTGCGTGTGCTGTGTGCGTTTAACTTGCTTTCTTCGGACGCGACCGTGAGCCACACCGCTGGAGGAGAATTCGCCGGCCCAACGGGCCAACGGCGTGCGAAGGTCTCCGGTGACTGGTTATATAGCAATATTCTAGTTCGCGCGCGCGCGGTGCCGCCCCTGGGGGTCCCCGGACGAAACGCCCCGGCCAGGTCCCAGCAGGCTCCCAAGAGCGTTCCAGGAGCGCTTCAAGCGGCCTCCAAGAGAGCTCAACATGGCCCGAGACGGCCCAAGAGCGATCCAAGACACCAAAGATGGGCTCCAGACAGCCCAAGGTGCCTGCGAGACGCCCCCAGAGGCCTCCAAGAGACCTCCCAAGAGGGCCCACAGAGGCAGACATTAGTGATTTTGCTGCAGTGTTTGAAGGTTTTTGGCGTTCTCGCTTTGGAGGCTTACTGGCGTTCCAAGACGGCCCAAGAGGCTTCCAGCATCGCCCCAACACAGCCCAAGCGGCCTCCAAGAGCGCTCGAAACGGTCCCAGAGGGACCCAAGACAGCCCCAGAGGCTTCCAAAATTGCCGAAAAGGCTCCCAAGACGGCTCCAAGAGCGGGCCCAGACGAGGGACGTTAACGGACATTTTGAGCTCCAGGCGCAGCGAGGTCCCCTGGAGGCCCCAAGAGTCCCCCAGAAAGCCCCCAAGAGGCCCCCGAGAGGTCCAAAGAGACCCCAAGAGGCCCCCAAGAGGCCCCCGTACCGCCCCAGGAGGTGTCAGACATACCGCCAAGAGGCCCCAAAGAGGCCTCCTATCGTTTCACCAACCCCTTCTTCGTTCTTCCCTCTCCTCCTTCTCCCCCCTCTGCGCCAACGACCCTCAATCCTCGAACGAATTCGCACCGCCAAGAGGCACCCCAGAGGCCTCCCAGAGCGACTCCCAACGAGGCGCCTTGTCCATGACCAGTTTCGCCCCAACTTGACACAAAAAACTCTCCAGAGACCTTTTCCTCATCCTCATCCCCCCCTCTCCTCCTCCTCCTCCTCCTCCTCCTCCTCCTCCTCCTCCTCCTCCTCCTCCTCCTCCTCCTCCTCCTCCTCCTCCTCCTCCTCATCCTCCTTCACCTTTTCGCTCGCCAAGAACATACAAATATATAGCACCAGTGATGCAAGATGAGCCGGCGGAATGAGCGAAGCGATTCCATAAATGTGAGTGATGGTGGTGACGAGGGGGCGAATGTGCGTATGTGCGTGAGGGGCGGGCAAACCAGAGTTGACAACGACGTCTCCCACTCCTCCCCCTCCTCATCCTCCTCATCGCTCCTCGCCTTCGCCCCCTTCCTCTCCTCGCCTTCGCCCCCTTCCCCCTCATACTCCCACTCCTGCGTGCTCCCCGTCCGGACCGTCCTCCTCGTGCTTCGCTATCCGTGCCCCCGTGGTCATCCAGCCCCCACTCTGGGCGCCCGAGTTATCCGGGGTAACTCGGGCCCGGGGTAACTCGGGTTCGGATTCCCGAAAATCGAACCCGAGTTAGCCCTGACCCGAAATATCCCTGATGATTTGGGGCTCTGGACGCCCGAGCTATCCGGGGTAACTCGGGCCCGGGGCAACTCGGGCTTGGATTCCCGAAAAAACTAACCCGAGTCAGCCCTGACCCGAGTTACCCCTGATGATTCGGGGCTCTGACCACTCCTCCCTCGTCATCACCGCCGAGAAAAGCGACAACTAAACAAACTCTACCTGCTGGAGGCCCCTGCGGACTTCATGGAGCGGCGCTTGGCACCCCTGCCCGGCGCGCGGGGCGCGCCAAGGGGCGGCGCTGGAGTCGCCGCCAGGGGGGGCCCAGCGACGATACGAGAACCCCGCGCGGACACCCGAACGTTTAGTTGAAATGTTGATGCAAGTGCTTCTGCTCCGACCTCGTCCTCCTCGCCCTCCTCGCCCACTTCTCGGCACCATCACCGTCGCCCTCCTCGTCCTCGACCTCGACCTTCCCCCCTCGTCCACGTCCTCGTCCCAGGCCTCGTCTGAGGAGCAACGATAGGGGGGACTGGCATAAGGGGGGATGCATCGACCTGAAATCGGCGGCACATTGCCGATAGATCGGCGATAGGCCCCCGGTAGTGAATCCGCACCTTCCTGGGCGGGTTGGGGCTATCGGGCCCCTGTCGGCGATCAATGAATGGGCAATTGGGGGTCGATGCATCCCCCCTATGCCTATCCCCACCTATCGTTGCCCCCGATCGTCCTCGCCCTCGTCCTCCTCGGGGATCTTCTGACCCCAGTCAGTACAGACTCGGGTCAGTCAGGCCTTGCAGAGTCCTGCGGATCCTGCAAGATCCTGCATCCAAGCCCGGGTTAATGCAAATGATACTGCAAAATCCTGCAGGGTCCTGCACCCAAACCCGGGTCAGTGCGACCCTGGCCCTGCAGGATCTTGCAAAATCCAGCGCTCTGGCTGACCCCCGTTTGCATTGACCCCGGTCTGGAGGCTCCCGACCTCCTCCCACCCCCCCACCCTCCGGTCCTCCTCCTCCTTGCCGTCACCCTCGTCCTCGAGCATCCGCCTCGACGCCGTCGTCATCACCGTCGCCTTCCCCGTCCGTGCCGCTGGCGGTAGGTCGGGCGTGTCCCCCTGCAGGCGGATTCTGGACGAAAAATGAGAATACTCCGACAAGTCTACCGAAAAATGATCCGACAATGATAGAAAAATCATCCCATGGCTATGTTTTAACTATTTTCGAATATGCCTCCTGTCGAAGGACGTGCCCGACATAACGCTGGCGTCGAAAAACACCGCATCGCATCACAGTAGCCAAGCACGGCTCGCCGCCCCTCCCCGCCGTGTGGGTCCCTCGCCACGGGCCGGGCGCACTGCGGAAGTGCTGGGGACGCTCTTGTCGGGTCGGGCGAAAGGGGGGGATAGCAAAGGGGGGGTTTGAGAATCAGCTCACGTAGAATCACCCCCTTTCGCCCGGCCCGATCTTGGGGGGGAGGAGCGTTACCTTACGGGGAAGGGGATGGGGTGACTGGCTGAAGCACAGCGCGCGCCGTGGCGCACAGAGTAGACCTAAAACACTATGAATCCTCCTTCTCCTTCCCCGCTCCTCTTTTTTTGTTTTGACGCTCGGCAAAGATCAGCGACCGGGCTGTTGCGTTCCTCGGCAACACGAGCTCTTGTAGGGATGGACGTGGAAAAACTCAAGAGGACGAGTGCGAGACAATAACAGCGCGGTCAAACGACCTAGACATCTGCACCCGAAGACGTGGACGGCATATAGTGCAAAGGACAGAGGCACATGATGCGACGGAAGACTAGAAGTGGGCAAATGCCTGGCTTCATCTCTTCTTCCTCCTCCTCCTCCTCCTCCTCCTCCTCCTTGCCCTCCTCCTCCTCCTCCTCCTCCTCCTCCTCCTCCTCCTCCTCCTCCTCTCTTTGTCCTTCTACATACCGTCTTCCTGTCGCACCCCGAGGCCAGTTTGTATGGCGGGCGGGCCGGGCGTTTCGTCTGAGACTTCCTCACCAGTTATGACCTTGAAGCGTGAACATTCGCAGCAGTTTCACAGATAGAGGGCGGGCCGTTTTCCAAATTCGACTTAGCGCCGCGCAGATTCGTTTTAAACTGTGACTCCCGCCTAAGTGCAGCGCACATTCATTTCAATCATTTGCGAGCGTTTCACGAATTTTGGGCGGTTCCTTTTCAAAATGGGGCTCTCGCCTGAGCGCCGTGCACATTCTTTCGGAACAGTTGCAAGAGTTTCACGGATTGAGGGCGGCTCCTATTCAGCAGGTGGCTCTCGCCTTAGCGCCGTGCACATTCGTTGTAAACAACTACGAGAGCTTCACGGATTCACATGATCAACGTACCACAAATGGTTGCGGAAGGACTCAGGATTATGGGGGTGCAACTGTTACATTGATTCGCGGTGCTGAAGTCCTAGGAATGGCGGCATGATTCAGTATCGTCCAGACGCAACAGTCCTGCTGATCCGTGGCGTTGAAATCCAGAGAAAAATGGATTGGCATGCTGCAGGGTCTTCAAAGGGTTGTCTTCCAACGAGGCAGCTCTCTCAGTGGACATGAACAGTTGTAGGGACCTACGAAGAGGTAGCTCAGAGGGAGGGTTTACTCCAACATCGTTGATGACTCTTGGTTTTACACTGGTCCTCCTCCTCCTCCTCCCCATCCTCCTCCCATGGGGGCCTCGAGCGTGTGGGCCACGCCCTTCGTCCAGAGCCACTGCCGCAGCGCGCGGTGCCTGCCCAGCCCGCGCGTAAGGCGTCTGGCCCAGTGCCTCGTCTTCATCCCCTTGTAGTCCACGCCTCGGGGGACGGGTGGGGGGAACTGACCTTGTTTTTTGGCGCGGGCTCATTGTCGGATCGGGACCCCCTAAAATACTGGGAACACCACTATTCCCCAGCGGCGGACACCGCTGGTGATTCGGGGGGATGAGGATCCGTGATGGCTGTGATGGCGATGGTGCTGGCGAGAGGAAGAACGAAGAGGGGAAGGACGACATACATTGCCAGCCGCGAGCTGAAGGGGGTTGACGGGCCAGTCAGCCTTGAAGACCTTCCTGGGTTACTCAGGAGTGCAGTCAAAGCGTCTCATGAGGACGCACTGTGAAGATGCAAAGACCTTGGAAGGCCTTGCCGACACTGTTCGAGGGGGGTTCGGCCAGCGAACGTGGGCGAGGATGGGCCGAAGGGGGAAGGATGCCAGGGTAACCTTGGAGACCCGCTCATCCTTAGTAAACGCTTTGACTGTTTTCAAGGTAAGCCAACCAAATCTGACGATGGCGACACAAAACCCACCAAAAAACACGGAGTGCCCCGCGCTGCAGGGACACCCAGCCGGCCCCAGCACCCCGCCCCAAATAGGGCGACCAGGGCCGACAATAACGGACCTAGGGCGTAACGTGGCCGCACCCGGCCGACATGAACGACCCCACGGCCGACAAAAACGGCCCCAGGGCGTGACGGCTGAAGAACATCTGAAGTGTCTCTGAAGCGCATCTGAAGAGCCTCTGAAGAACTTCTGAAGAGCTTTTGACAAAGGTTTTCAGATGGTCTTCTGAAGAGCTTCTGGTCCGATGGTTTTCTGAAGAGCTTCAGCTTTTGAAAGCGCCGATTGTGTTCTGAAGAGCCTGTGAAGATGTTATGAAGCGCTTCTGAAACGCTTCTGACGAGCTTCTGAATCGCTTCTGAAGAGCGTCTGCAGCGACTCCTGAAGCGCTTCTGAAGAGCCTCTGAAGCGCTTCTGAAGAGCCCCTGAAGCGCTTCTGAAGAGTTTATGAAGACCCTCCGATGAGCTTCTGGTGAGCTTCCGAAGAACTTCCGAAGAGCCTCTGAAGCGCCTCTGGAGTCTCTGAAGGGCCTCTCAAGCGCGTCAGCGAAGCCTCTGAAGCGCCCTCGAAGCGCACCCAAAAGCGCCTCTGAAGCGCCTCTGAAGAGCCTCCGAGGCGCTTCTCATTAGCTTCTGCAGCGCCTCGGAAGCGCCCCTGGAGCGCCTTTGAAGAGCCTCTGGAGCGCCTCTGAAGCGTCTTTGAAGCGTCTCTGAAGCGCCTCTGACGCGCCTCTGGGACGCTCTGAAAGGTCTCCGACGCGCCTCAGAAGCGCCCCAGAAGCGCCCCCTGATGCGCCTCCGAAGTGCCCGTCGAGGCGCCTCTGAAGAGCCTCTGAAGGGCCTCTGCAGCGCCCCCGAAGCGCCTCCTGCAGCCCCTCTGAAGATACCATGAAGAGTTTCTGAAGAGCCTCTGATGAGCTTCTGAAGAACCTCTGAAGCGTTTCTGAAGCGCTTCTGACAAGATCTTGAGGCGATTATGAAAATCCTCTGAATGGCTTCCTGAAGCGCTTCGGAAGCGCTTCTGAAGAGCCTCTGAAGCGATTCTGGGGAGCCTCTGAAGCTAAAACGCTTCTCGAACGCTTTTAAAGAGCCTCTGAAGCAATTCTTAAGAACCTCCGGTGAGCTTCTGACGAGCTTCTGAAGAGCCTCTGATGAGCTCATGAGGAGCTTACGAGGAGCTTCTGAAGAAATTCAGAAGAGCCTCTGAAGAGTCACTGAAGGACCTCTGAATCGCGTCCGCAGGGCCTCTGAATCGCCTCTGAAGCGCTTCTGAAGAGCTTCTGAAGCGCCTCTGAAGCGCCTATGAAGCGCCTCGGAAGCGCCTCTGAAAAGCTCCTGGAGCGCCTCTGAAGAGCCTCGGTAGAGCCTCCGATGAGCTTCCGAAGAGCTTATGGAGCGCGTCTGAAGCGCTTGAGAAGAGCTTTTAATGAGCTTCTGAATGGGGCTCCGAAGCGCTTCTGAAGCGCATTCTGAAGCGCTTCTGGATCGCTTCTGGCGCGGTCTTTATCGTCATCTGGTGTCGTCGTCACTCCTCGTGCGTTCTCCGTCGTGGTCGTGCTGACGCCGTCTGGGGGAGGACGCCATCGCTTTCTCGCGCGCGCCGCACCTCATGGGGGGGGGTCGTCGCCCGCGTCTTTTGTAGTTCTTGTATGAGGTTGTTGGTTGTCTTATGTTTCTTTCTGCTTCTCATCTCTTATTTCCACCCGTGACTCGATTCCACCCGTGACGGCATGGGGTCCGAAACAAGCATCCATGGGCCGGATGCCGAAACGGGCCTCCATGGGCCAGACGACGCCGTCGTCGTCTTTGTCGTCACCCAGTGCCTACTACTACTACTACTACTACTACTACTACTACTACTACTACTACTACTACTACGACCACTCCTACAGCTACTACTAGTACTACTACTACTATTATTACTGTTACTACTACTACTACTACTACTACTACTACTACTAACGACTACTACTACTACTACTACTACTACTACTACGACTCCCACTACTACTACTACTACTACTACTACTACTACTACTACTACTACTACTACTACTACTACTACTACTACTACTCATAATACTAAGAATACGACTGCGACTACTAAGCCGACTACTACTGCGACTATTACTACCACTACTACTACTTCTACTACTACTGCTATTGGTACTACTCCTACTACTGCTACTACTCCTCCTACTACTACTACTACTACTACTAATAATACTACTACTACTACTACCACTACTACTAAAGCGTCAACTACCACTACCATACTACTACTACTACTACTACTACTACTACTACTACTACTACTACTACTGCTGAGCCACCTACTTTATCCACAGCTGCTACGACTCCCACGAGTATGGCAACAGACTACTACTACTGCTACTGCTGCTCCTACTACTACGACTACGGTAACTGCGACTACTGCGACCACTACCACTACCACTACCACTACCACTACTACTACTACTACTACTACTACTACTACTACTACTACTACTACTATTACTACTAATATTACTACTACATCTACTACCACCACTACTACTACTACTACTACGACGACGGCTACTACTACTACTACTACTACTACTACTACTACTACCACTACTACTACTACTACTACGACAACTACTTCGACTACTACTACCACAGCGGCTACTGCAACAACTACAACTACGACGACGACTACTACTACTACTGTTACTACTACTACTACTACTACGACTACAGCTTCTACTATTACTACTAGTGCCACGACCACGACTACTACTACTACTACTACTACTGCTACTATTACTGCTACTACTACGAGTAGCAGTACTACTACTACTACTGCTACTACTACTACGCCTACTACCACGGCGAATACTGCTACTACTACTACTACTACCACTACTACTACTAGTAGTACTGCTACTACTACTACTACTACTACCACTACTACTACTACGAGTGCTGCTACTACTCCTACCACACCTACTACTACTACTACTACTACTACAGCTACTACTACTTCAACGACGACTACTACTACTACTACTACTACTACTACGACAACTACTTCGACTACTACTACTGATACGAGTACTTCTATATTACGAAGACCACAAATTGTACGATGAGTAGTAGTACTACTACTACTACTACTACTACTTCTTGCATTAGCACTACTAATAACACCACCACCACCGCTACGATGACTACTACTCCAAGTACTACTGCGATCACTACTACCAGCACTACTGATACATCTACTGCTACTACTACTACTACTACTACTTCTACGACGAAAACATCTACTACCACTACTACGACCACGGCTACGACTGCTACTATTATCACTACTACTACTACTACTGCTGCTACTACTACTACTACTACTCAAACTACTCCGATTACTACTGCCAGTACTACTACTACTACTACTGCTGCTACTACTACTACTACTACTACTACTACTACTACTAGTAATACTACGACTACTACCACTACTACTACTACTACTACTACTACTACTACTACTACTACTACTACTACTTCTTCTACTTCTAGTACTACTACTACTGCTACTACTACTACTACTACTACTACTACTACTACTACTACTACTACTAGTACTAACCCCACTACTAATACATTTCTTACCACTATGGCTACTACCACTACTACTACTACTACTACTACTACTACTACTACTACGACTGCTGCTACTACTACCACTACTACCAAACATATCAATAACAACTACTATTACGACTACTTCTACTACTACTACTACTACTACTACTACTACTACTTGTACTGTTCGTACTCGTACTACTATTTGTTCTACTACTACGACTACCAGTACTACTACTACGACTACGACTACTGCGACTACTGCTACTACACATATTTCTACTTCTACTACGACTGCTGCTACTACTACTACTGCCACTATTACTACTACTACTACTATTCGTACTCTCACTGCTACAACTACCACCACCACTTCTACTACTACTACGACTACTACGACTACTACTACCACCACCACCACCACCACCACCACTACCACCCACCACAACTACTACTAACTACTACTACTACTACTACTAACGACTACTACTACTACTACTACTACTACTACTACTGCTGCTGCTGCTGCTGCTGCTGCTACTACTACTAATACTACTACTACAACTACAACTACAACTACAACTACTACTACTACTACTACTACTACTACTACTACTACTACTACTACTACTACTACTACTACTACTACTACTACCTACTACTACTACTACTACTACTACTACTACTACTACTACTACTACTACTACTACTACTACACTACTACTACTACTACTACTACTACTACTACTACTACTACTACTACTACTACTACTACTACTACCACTACTACTACTACCGCTACTACTACAACTACTACGTGCGATCAGCCAAATTTCAACCATTTTGTCAATCTTCCATCGGTGAACTTGAAGACACCCCACTCATTCCAGAAGCTCTGTTGGAAAGCGTCTGCTAATCAGACAAATTTGGCAGCGACCCCAAAACATTGCAACCACTTCGTCCAGATCGCAAACGTTTGTGATCCGCCCCAATGTGGTTGCGATCGGGCAGAAGTGGTTGCGATCAGCCCCGGTCGCCTATCTCCCCCCCCCTCCTCATCCCCGCTTCTCCTCTTGTTCACCCATGCACTCTCTGTCCAGCTCGCGCGCACAGGAAGGCGTCCCGCCAGGAACGGGTGGGAGATGGAGGAGGATCAACAGAAACGGGGAAGGGGTTGGCAGAGAGGAAAGGAACGGAGTTCAAGACCACCCGATACGATACGAATATGTAAATGTTGGTAACACTTGCAGGATTCGGACAACGTGCCCTACGGGGGGGAAGTTTTAGCTGATATGAACATTCGCGGTCTGTGTGTACAACTCTGCGATCGACTAAGGTGAGTATCAGTGAATATGGGTGAGCCTTTGCCCTCTGAGTACAAATGTCTGATTGGCAAAGAAAAGAGGCGGGTACGGCGGGGGACGTGGCACTCATGGAGTGGCACTCACGACTGAGCCCCATGTTTAGGATACAAGACTGAGCCCACACCTGGGCACCACGCTGACAGCTTGGTCGAGGCGCTTCGATCGCAACGATAAACACCCAACCACAGAGACGGCGGCAAACAACAATTTCGTAAGCGCAGATACGTAGTTACAGATCCGCCCGCCCAGCGGCGCCTTCATTCTCCTCGACCCACTGCTGCAGTTCCCTCGTGAGCTCCAACGCAGTGGAGCTCTCGCAATTCATCCCCTGGTGGATCACGTCGAAAGCGAACCGCAACGTCCCGAGCCTGCTCAAATCGACGTCCTCGCCTCGAGCGCGAGGGGTGACGAGAAGACCCCCCCCCGCCCGTTCTTCTTCCGGCTCGTCAACGTCGTCGCCTTCACCCGCGGCCCCCTCCACGGTCTTCTATTGGCCCTTGTCTGCGCCCTCTCCACCGACGTGCTCCGCCTGTTCCCGCGTCCGTCTCCACCTCCTTCCTCCTCCTCCTCCTCCTCCTCCTCCTCCTCCTCCTCCTCCTCCTCCTCCTCCTCCTCCTCCTCCTCCTCCTCCTCTCTTCCTCCTCTCCTCCTCTCTCCTTCCTCCTCCTCCTCCTCCTCCTCCGCCTCCTCCTCCTCCTCCTCCTCCTCCTCCTCCTCTATACCTTCTCTCCCCCCTCCTCATCTTCCTCCTCATCCTTTTCTCTTCCTCTTCCTCCTCCTCCTCCTGCTCGTCTCTCCGCTGCTCGCCATCCTCGCGCTTCGCCCCCCACGCGACGAGCGAAGCAACGCGTTGACCTTCGCGGCTCCCACTTTATGCGGGTGACCCAGCTTCCGTCCTCCCCTGCGCATCGTTTGACAGATGCCCACCCCTGCTGGCGTGGCCTTGGCCCCACTGGCAGACTCGCCTCCCGCGGGGATACATGATCCAGGGCTCCGGGCACCAAACCCTCCTCCAACGCTACTAGGATCGACCCCCCTCCCCTGCTGGATGGGTAGCCCCCCTGTGGTTCGTCGTCATCGTCGTCGTCGCCGCCGTTGTCGTCACCGTCGTCGTCCCCATACCATCAGAGGGGGAGCCTGATCCTTGGGGCAAGCTCATCTGGCGGGTGGTTCCATGAACCCTCGACCCTGGATCATGTATGCTGCTCCGTCCGGGTTTGTCGAGCCCTGCTCCACCTTGACAAGGTAGGGTGGGGCCCAGGTTCGGCTGAGATACCACGGCCCAGTCACGGTGGGCATTGGCTGGACGATGCTGATCCCCTCCTGCCCCCACCTTGCGATGGTGGGGTTGGGGCCAGGTAGGGCTGCGATGCCACGGCCCAATCACGGTGGGCATCGGCTGGACGATGCTGATCCCCTGTGGGCTCAACGTCCCCCCTCGTTGCCCCGGTGCTTCCGCAATGGACGCAGCAGCCTCCCGGGTGGTCGCAGATGCATCCCGCAGTGGACGCAGCGCCTGCCCCCGTACAGGCAGCAGATGCGTTCCCGTGGGGGCAGACGCCCCCCCCGATCCCCCTCTTGTTATTTATGCCTCTGATCCTCGTGGTTCCAGGCTCCTCCTCCTCCTCCTCCTCCTCCTCCTCCTCCTCCTCCTCTTCCTTATCTCCACCTCCTCATCTTCCTCCTCCTCCTCTTCCTCCTGCCTCCTCCTCCTCCTCCTCCTCCTCCTCCTCCTTATCTCCATCTCCTCATCTTCCTCCTCCTCCTCATCTTCCTCCTGCTCCTCCTCCTCCTCCTCCTCCTCCTCCTCCTCCTCCTCCTCCTCCTCCTCCTCCTCCTCCCCCTCCTCCTCCCCTCCACGATCTTCTGCCCTCTGCCTCATCCTCCTCCTCCTCCTCCGCCTCCTCGCCCACCTGCCTGCCTCGCGGTTGCCGGGCACCTCGTCCGCCTGCCCCTCCGTCCACAGGGGGTGGGGGGGCCTTCCCCGTCGTCCGTCTCGCCAGGCCGGCGGGGCTCGTCGAACGACTCGCTGGGCGACGCAGCTCGCAGCGCCAGAACTGCGGGAGGCATGGGGGGAAGGGGGAGGACGGGCGAGGAGGCTGGGGCAGGGCTCGACCTGAACAGTATGTTCTGTGCTCGTGTTGTGTTTGGTGTCCCTCAATCGGGCTTCGCTCTGCCTTTGCGACGAAGCAGTAACAAACAAAGCACAACATAACGGCCATCGAAATTACCAAAGCACTATTAAGGTCGAGCCCTGCGATGGCGTGAGGAAGAAGGAAAAAGGAGGAGGAAGAGAAGGAGGAGGAGAAGCAGGAGGAGGGGGAGGAGGAAGAGGAGGGGGGTGAGGATAAGGGGGATCATGCGGATGCGGGAAAAGGGGGAGTTCGGAGAGCAGCACGAACAGGGGGAGAGGGGGTGCAACGATGGACTCGGCTGGAAGAGGAGGAGAAGAGGAAGGAGGAGGAGCAGGAGGAGGAGGACGAGTGGGAAGGAGAGAATTTGTGTTTCACGCGAATTCCGTGCGGAATTTCGGAAATGTCTGTCCGCGTCGTGATTGCTTCCCGTCGACGATCGGCGGCAATCGCAGGTCGGTTTCCTCCCCCCCTTCGAAATTACGCTACCGAGGAACCCCACATACTGATTTTATGTCTTGTGTGAACCGCGCTTCCACTACCACCGCCGTCACGCTCTCAGGTGCCCCCTGTGGTCGTTGAAAGGAGGGGGAGGACGTGTGGGGGGAGAGGAGGGGTTGAGGAGTCATCTGTGACGGTCATATCCGGCGTCGCCTGGCACTTGGATACAAGAGGTAATACGCAATCCCGCACTAGAGGCTATGCCTGGACGACCCTGGCGCGCATAGGGAGACCACCCCCTGCGCACCCCCTCTGGTGTCGAGAAAATGCCACGCCTGCTATGCCTGGAAGACCCTGGCACGCATAGGGAGACCACCCCCTGCGCACCCCCTCTGGTGTCGAGAAACTGCCACGCCTGCTATGCCTGGACGACCCTGGCACGCATAGGGAGACCACCCCCTGCGCACCCCCTCTGGTGTCGAGAAAATGCCACGCCTGCTATGCCTGGACGACCCTGGCACGCATAGGGAGACCACCCCCTGCGCACCCCCTCTGGTGTCGAGAAATGCCACGCCTGCTATGCCTGGACGACCCTGGCACGCATAGGGAGACCACCCCCTGCGCACCCCCTCTGGTGTCGAGAAAATGCCACGCCTGCTATGCCTGGACGACCCTGGCACGCATAGGGAGACCACCCCCTGCGCACCCCCTCTGGTGTCGAGAAAATGCCACGCCTGCTATGCCTGGACGACCCTGGCACGCATAGGGAGACCACCCCCTGCGCACCCCCTCTGGTGTCGAGAAAATGCCACGCCTGCTATGCCTGGACGACCCTGGCACGCATAGGGAGACCACCCCCTGCGCACCCCCTCTGGTGTCGAGAAAATGCCACGCCTGCTATGCCTGGACGACCCTGGCGCGCATAGGGAGACCACCCCCTGCGCACCCCCTCTGGTGTCGAGAAAATGCCACGCCTGCTATGCCTGGACGACCCTGGCGCGCATAGGGAGACCACCCCCTGCGCACCCCCTCTGGTGTCGAGAAAATGCCACGCCTGCTATGCCTGGGCGACCCTGGCGCGCATAGGGAGACCACCCCCTGCGCACCCCCTCTGGTGTCGAGAAAAATCACGTCTGCCATGCTGGACTACCCTGTGCCAGGCGACCCACCCCCTGCGCACCCCCTCTGGTGTCGAGAAATGCCACGCCTGCTATGCCTGGACGACCCTGGCGCGCATAGGGAGACCACCCCCTGCGCACCCCCTCTGGTGTCGAGAAAATGCCACGCCTGCTATGCCTGGACGACCCTGGCGCGCATAGGGAGACCACCCCCTGCGCACCCCCTCTGGTGTCGAGAAAATGCCACGCCTGCTATGCCTGGACGACCCTGTCGCGCATAGGGAGACCACGCCCTGCGCACCCCTTCTGGTGTCGAGAAAGTGCCACGCCTGCTATGCCTGGGCGACCCTGGCGCGCATAGGGAGACCACCCCCTGCGCACCCCCTCTGGTGTCGAGAAAATGCCACGCCTCCTATGCCTGGACGACCCTGGCGCGCATAGGGAGACCACCCCCTGCGCACCCCCTCTTGGGTCGAGAAACTGCAAACGCCTGTATGCCTGGACGCCTGGCGCGCATAGCGAACCACCCCCTGCGCACCCCCTCTGTGTCGAGAAAATGCCACGCCTGCTTATGCTGGACGAACCTGGCACGCATCGGGAGACCAGCACCTGGCACCCCCTCTGGTGTCGAGACATGCCACGCCTGCTATGCCTGACGACCTGCCTCGATAGGGAGACCACCCCCTGCGCAACACCCCTTTGGTGTCGAGAAAATGCCACCGCCTGCTATAACTCTGGGACGAAACCCTCCTGGGCGCGCATAGGGAAACCACCCCTGCGCACCCCTCTGATGTCGAGACAATGCCACGCCTGCTATGCCTGGACGACCCTGGCGCGCATAGGGAGACCACCCCCTGCGCACCCCCTCTGGTGTCGAGAAAATGCAACGCCTGCTATGCCTGGACGACCCTGGTGTGCGGTGCTGCGCTGTGCTGTGTTGTTCTGAGTTGAGCTGAGCTGAGCTGTGCTAAGCTGTGCCGTGCTGAGCTGAGCTGAGCTGTGCTGAGCAGTGCTGTGAGGAGGAGGGGAGGTGTGAGACGCGGGTGCGACGCGGCAGGGAAGAAAACCATAACCCCACGAAGCATGTGGGGAATGAGAAACGACCCTCTGCGCACCCTCTCTGGTGTCGAGAAACTGCCACGCCTGCCACGCCCCGCGACCCTGAGACAGATAGAGAGACCAGTGAGAGACCACCCCCTGCGCACCCTCTCAAGTGTCGAGAAAGTGCCACGCCTGCCACGCCCCGCGACCCTGAGACGGATAGAGAGACCAGTGAGAGACCACCCCCTGCGCACCCTCTCTGGTGTCAAGAAAATGCCACGCCTGCCACGCCCCGCGACCCTGAAACGGATAGAGAGACCAGTGAGAGACCACCCCCTGCGCACCCTCTCTGGTGTCGAGAGAGTGCCACGCCTGCCACGCCCCGCGACCCTGAGACGGATAGAGAGACCTGTACGAGAAGAGACCACCCCCTGCGCACCCTCTCTGGTGTCGAGAAAGTGCCACGCCTGCCACGCCCCGCGACCCTGAGACGGATAGAGAGACCAGAGAGAGACCACCCCCTGCGCACCCTCTCTGGTGTCGAGAAAGTGCCACGCCTGCCACGCCCCGCGACCCTGAAACGGATAGAGAGACCCGTGAGAAACCACTCCCTGCGCACCCTCTCTGGTGTCGAGAAAGTGCCACGCCTGCCACGCCCCGAGACCCTGAGACGGATAGAGAGACCAATGCGAGACCACCCCCTGCGCACCCTCTCTGGTGTCGAGAAAGTGCCACGCCTGCCACGCCCCGCGACCCTGAGACGGATAGAGAGACCAGTGAGAAACCACCCCCTGCGCACCCTCTCTGGTGTCGAGAAAGTGCCACGCCTGCCACGCCCCGCGACCCTGAGACGGATAGAGAGACCAATGAGAGACCACCCCCTGCGCAACCTCGCTGGTGTCGAGAAAGTGCCACGCCTGCCACGCCCCGCGACCCTGAGACGGATAGAGAGACCAGTGAGAGACCACCCCCTGCGCACCCTCTCTGGCGTCGAGAAAGTGCCACGCCTGCCACGCCCCGCGACCCTGAGACGGATAGAGAACCGCGGTGAGAGACCACGCCCGTGCGCACCCTTCTCTGGTGGTCGAGAAAGTGGCCACGCCTGCTACGCCCCGCGACACCTGCTGAGGACGGATTAGAGGCTCAAGTGGGAGACAACCCCTGCGCAACCTCTCTGGGTGTGGAGAAAGTGCTACCTATGCCACGCCCCGCGACCTTCGGACTTGATAGAGTGACAGTGAGACACACACCTTGCACACCTTCTTTGGCGTTCAAGAAAATGCCTCCTGCCTGCGCGGGCCCCGCGAACTGAGACGGATAGAGAGACCTGTGAGGAAAACCACCCCCTGCGCACCCTCTTGGTGTCGAGAAAGTGCCCAACGCCTGCCACGCCGCGACCCCTGAGACGGAATAGAGAGTCTGTGAGAGTCCATGCAGGGGCGTGCCGATCTAGGTTTCGAGAAAGTGCCACGCCTGCCACGCCCCGCGACCCTGAGACGGATAGAGAGACCAGTGAGAGACCACCCCCTGCGCACCCTCTCTGGTGTCGAGAAACTGCCACGCCTGCCACGCCCCGCGACCCTGAGACGGATAGAGAGACCAGTGAGAGACCACCCCCTGCGCACCCTCTCTGGTGTCGAGAAAGTGCCACGCCTGCCACGCCCCGCGACACTGAGACGGATAGAGAGACCAGTGAAAGACCAACCCCTGCGCACCCTCTCTGGTGTCGAGAAAGTGCCACGCTTGCCACGCCCCGCGACCCTGAGACGGATAGAGAGACCAGTGAGAGACCACCCCCAGCGCACCCTCTCTGGTGTCGAGAAAGTGCCACGCCTGCCACGCCCCGCGCCCCTGAGACGGATAGAGAGACCAGTGAGAGACCACCCCCAGCGCACCCTCTCTGGTGTCGAGAAAGTGCCACGCCTGCCACGCCCCGCGGCCCTGAGACGGATAGAGAGACCAATGAGAGACCACCCCCTGCGCACCCTCTCTGGTGTCGAGAAAGTGCCACGCCTGCCACGCCCCGCGACCCTGAGACGGATAGAGAGACCAGTGAGAGACCACCCCCTGCGCACCCTCTCTGGTGTCGAGAAACTGCCACGCCTGCCACGCCCCGCGACCCTGAGACGGATAGAGAGACCAGTGAGAGACCACCCCCTGCGCACCCTCTCTGGTGTCGAGAAAGTGCCACGCCTGCCACGCCCCGCGACACTGAGACGGATAGAGAGACCAGTGAAAGACCAACCCCTGCGCACCCTCTCTGGTGTCGAGAAAGTGCCACGCTTGCCACGCCCCGCGACCCTGAGACGGATAGAGAGACGCGAT